CTATACAAATTTGTGGCAACGGTTTGGAGAAGGTCCACATATGGATGCCGTGGTCAGGTGTGCGCATACTTTTGGCTATTTAGTGTATGTCATAGCCCAACTGGTCCAAAACTAGATGACAGTAACTGCCAAGTCTGGTAACATTACCTATAGGTTTGGACCAGTTGGGCTAAGACATATTTGCATACATCTCCCTAAACACGTAGCACACGGATATAATTTTAATGATGATAATTACAGATTTTTAAACCCCAACTTAAATGAGCAAGACACGCGTTATCCCTAAATATACTTACACAACTTCGCACCATCTGAGGTGAAGCAAGCCATAGCTACACAACATGACAATAAAAGACTTTAGAGGATTTGCAAAATAAAAACCACTGCATTCAAAAACATATTGCAATCTTTAATCCAGCTCAAGAACAAGCTCATTAAATAACAGTTATTCACACCATTTGCTGCTCAACATGACTCCAAAAACTCTCCGCTCTGTAAAAGCAAGCAGCTGACAACTGAATGAATCATGCTAAAACTGAGTGCAATCCAATTTTAAACTGAAGCTTAATTTTCTGATGTTTCAAAGATGCTTAGATAATGATTTTGCCTTATTACAGCAAGGTCCCTCACATAAGAATTGATTACATAATTTAATGTTCAGTTCAAAACACTGATGCTTTGATCTTAGCACTTGCTTATGTATTACTCATTAATGCCAAATTAGTCAACATGAAATTAAAAACCTGCATTAGTGAATTATGTATTTAAAAACATCAGTGGCAAAAGCACCTAATGCTCCATTTAATTTGAATATAAAAATAGCGGCATTGCTAAACAAATACACAATACTCAATAACACTAGTCCAAAGCGGTACTTAATTCACTAAGCAGAGAGATTTTTTTTTTTTGCTCATGAGTTTGGTCCACCACCTAAACTTGGTATTAAAGATCAGAGTAGCTTTAAGCTGCTTTGAGCAAACATAACCCTTAAGTCCATTACATGCCTCCACAAATAGCTAGTGAAATATATTACTAAGCCATTAGACAAATGGGCCTGAGGCTGGAGCACGAGCTATGCAATCATTGCTCTAGATAATGACACAGCAGCCAAAAAAAGTTGTATCATCTGATCTTTCTATGGAGTTCATGGAATAGGTCTTTTTGGCACTGACCCGCCCAATCTGACTCTCCGGATGCTTTACTGCACAAACCAGAGTGGCCGATTGTATCAGCAAGAAAATGAAAGTGGTCAGCAGGATCTAGCTCCACTGTAAACTCCAGTATACAGGAGATCCAAGTTATTAGCTAACATCTACAATCAGTGCCTGCAGTCCCCTAGGGCAAACTCAGAATTGCACAGGAGGAGGGTGGTGTCTCTGGCTGGCTGCTGCTACCATTGCTCTTAGCTACGCAAACACCAGGCATGGTATGCATGCACCCAAAAAAGGCTGTCAAGTGCTGCAGTACATGGTCGAGGAGGTAGTGATTGTTGTGCATCGTCATGGCTGGAACTGCCAAGGCTGTCTGCTTGGCCACTCCACCTGTTTAGGGGACCATACTATTTATAACCGCTACAAATGCTGCTTGGGTTACAAAACTGCAGCAGTCAGACGGGGGAAAGATGAAGCACTAGGGATGGGCAATACCTAAAAATAATAATATTAAATAAATAAATAAATAAATAAATAAATAAAGCAAGTAGAACTCAACAATGTCAACGGGGATGCCTCCGCCACAAACAAGTCTAGTCCTTCTTGCAACCAATTTGTACGCCTGAAATATGATTAACACATACTTTACACAGAAAAGAGGCTATAAGTAAATGGTGTTATAATAAAGCCTACAACTTGTCTTTCTATTTCATGTGATCATGAGGAATTTTTTTTAAGCCGTATGCTGCCTTCAGCAATTTATCTGTAGCCTACACCAACATCTAGATTTGTAATTCAGATAAGTAAATATAAATAAAAGGTAAATATTATTTGGGGTAATATTAGCCTTATTTCACAAGCTGTATAGAATTACACTGCTCTAGTTCTCTGTCAGTTTCTTAAAATGAACAATATTAGCTTCTGTCAAGGCATCAATTACATGTTAGTGTAGATCTCAGAAATGCACTATATGGCCAAAGGTTTGTGGACACCTGACCATCTCACCCATATGTGCTTGATGAACATCCCATTCCAGATTTAATCCTCCTTTGCTGTTATAATAACTGCTATTCTTGTGGGACGGATTTCCTCTAGATTTTTAGAGTGTGGCTGTGGGGATTTGTCCATTCAGCCACAAGAGTATTAGTGAGATCAGGCACTGATGTCGGGTGAGGAGGCCTGGGCTGCAGTCAGCGTTCCAGTTCATCCCAAAGGTGTTCAGTGGGGTTGAGGTCAGGGCTCTGTGCAGGCCACACAAGTTCTTCTATTCCAACCTTGGCAAACCATGTCCATGGGCCTTGGCCAAGCATTAGGGCCTCTTGGCGCCAGTGAAGAGAAATTGTAATACTACAGCATACGAAGACATTCGGTACAATTGTGTGCTTCCAACTTTGTGGCAACAGTTTGGGGAAGAACCACATGTGGGTGTGATGGTCAGGTGTCCACAAAGATTTGGCCATATAGCACACCCCATAAATCTATCTATATCTATCCATCGATCGATACATAGATATATGGAGTTGAACTTCTTGCACAAACATTCCCAAAATGTTCCCACGTCTGTTTTGTACCATTGGTTAGTTATTTATATAGAATGATTTGTAATGCTGCTCGTGTCCTGTTAACCTATAACAAATAAAAATGCATTAAAAATGTGCTCAAGGAAGTAAACTTGCCAAACTATTACATTCATAATATTTCAGCTAAGACCAATATAACTAGCATCTTAATCTTATCTTAATACAAATCTTCACACCCAATCTTCATCTCAACAGCTTTTGGTGCTTTAGGGGGATTGGGGTGCATCAAATAATTGTGCTTGGAAACAGTCAAAGTAACATTTTATTAATATTACGCTGCCATGATATCCAGTGACATTTACTCAAATTATATTACCAGTGGTTATATTACCCCACAATTTAACATGGAAGAACTCAAATAAAGCAAATGTTTCTCCCCATTAAAATGGGAGATGATCCACATGACATATGAATCTGGAATAATCTGCTCAGTACTCTCAGACAACCTACAAAAGAGACAGGAAAATGAGCATTGCCTCCATTTCATGTTTAAGAGAGTACAGAAGGGGTGTAATATTACCAGCTGCGCAGTCAGGAACTGTGGGATGGCAGAGGCAATCGCAAAATCTCCACAGTAACATGGTGCAAACAGTAAAAAACATAACTGCTTAACAGGACATCATCAACATAATCATTTTACAAATGAGCTGTCTAACTTCCACAAGGTCCAAAAAAAAAGCCCAGTGTATCCCCCCCCCCCCCCCCTTTTTTAACAAAACACTGTGGCTTGTTAATTAAATGGCTTGCAGTAAAATAAAATGTGAGCACCAGAGACAGTACGACAGCTACAACATGCAAAGAGCATTCCATCGTTCTTGTAATTAAATTTTCTAATGAGGTTACAGGTAACAGTTTTGAAAGGTCTTTTTTTAAAAATAAATAAATAAAAACACATTTTGCCAGCTCTACTGGATACACGTTCTCACACGTTGAATATAGTGCTAGAAAGTTATGTCACTGATGTTCTCACTCCAGGCCACACCTCCAGGTAGCCCACAATGTGTTGAATCATCTAGGCATCAAAACAAAAGATGAACAAGGCCCTTTATGGAGCCTATATCTGTACAGCTCCGATCGGCTGAGTAAACACAGCTCGAAGCCACAGCCCAGCTTTTACACTCAATGCCTCTTACTACACCTTGCACGAGAATTTCGAGTCCACACTTGTGAACGCACAAGGCTACTAAACAAGCAAAGCGCCCACCCAGCCATCCATCATGCTCGAAACCACCAAACACTCAACCTCCTGCCCCTGAAACTGTTGTCACTGACCAGTCATTCAGTGCAAACCACAGAGCGAAACCAAAAATGTAGGTCTCCTGTGCAAACATGCTGCCAAGAAACACAGTATCAGTGAAAAGAGGAAGTGGAAGTTTTACTTACAAAACCCTGTGGCTAAGAGTTTCGACAGACTCCTAACTAAGAACTAAGACATGACATAAGTTGTAAGTGATGAGAATAATATATAAGAGTGTATCAGGATCAATATTCTAATTCAGGCCATGAAAATTACAGGAGAATAAGCAAAGCCTTGCTCTAACAGAGTGCGAGTGTCCAAACGAGCCAGCTTTTGTAATTGTTAGCTTCTGGCTTTAAGGTTGCAACCAGTCACAGGCTGCAAACAGAGAAAACATCAGCTAGCAGGAGTCAGCACCTACACCTTTATTTTGTCCACAGCTTTCTTTAAAAAAAAATATATATTTTTTTTAATAAATACAAGGCTCCTCGCTCTCTTCTAGGAATAGCTACTAATTACTTTCTGATGCTAACCTCTAGCCCTCTGCTAGCAGCTAATATTAGCTCTGTTTAGACCCTCAATGGAAATGCTCACTTGGACAATGAAAAATAAAACAAAATAGTGAGATCTGATTGGCAGTGCTCTGTAGTATTTCAGCACTGACCTCCAAACTAGGGATAAGTCCATACTATTCGATATACTCTATTCAAATTTTAAATAATAAATTACACATTTCTGAGTATTATTTATCATCATTCGCAAGAGCTGTATGGTTGAGGCGTTGTGTTAATAAGACAATGAGCAACATTGTAATTTGCTACAAGTTTAAATGCTTAAAAACGTATTTAAAAAAAAAAAAAAAAAAAAAAACATCTCAATTTAGGACAAAAAGATGGGGGTGTGGCCAGATATCCATAACATGTGTCGTGTACAAGTTACATCATTACAGTGGAAAAAGTACTGGAAGCTGGTTAGGAGTCACCTGTAGCTGCAACAGCTAGTATTATCGTTTAAGGGTTTTTTCCCAAGCGGTCCCTGGAAGACTAGCGGTTAGTGCGCGGTGCTCTCACTGCCACGGCCCGGGTTCGATTCCCGGCCAGGGAACCAACCCAACAAGACAGTGCACTCCCAGTGCCAGTCCCAAAGTCTGGATAAAATTGGGAAGGGATGCGTCAGGAAGAGCATCCGACGTTAAAAACAGCGGGCCAGTGATCCACTGTTGCGACCCCTAACGGGAGCAGCCGAAAGAGGAACAACAATTACGTGTTAACAAGCAGAGGAATGTTGCAACACTGAAATCAGCAGTGTAAATAAAAATAAGTTATTAGCTGTAACTAAGCTCACTATAAAAACTAAACAACATTATCTAAACTACATGTGCATGTGCTCTATGGTGAACAGCAGCAGAAATACTTGAATTCTTGTATAGTGAAGCTGCCCTGATAAACACACTGTTTCATTTTCTTATTTTAAACCTCTGTTCATGTATTGAGTGGCAGACATTCACCGCTTTATCTGTTTGGCAGCATGGACAATGGAAGCCAAGATATCAAAGAATGAGGTTTATTAAGGTTCATACAGGATACAAAATAGACTAAAAGGAAGTGCGTATGACGAGATATACTTTATTTTTGTCTATCCTAAAATCAACTGACATTTAAAACGTCCAACTTGATAGACAACGCGATAGTTGGAATCTATTGGTGATTTTCGAAACTATCGTCAATTACCCCAAGTCTTTGTCAGCATATCATGGCTGTGTGTCTCATCACTAACAAGTCACTGCGCAATATTTTTAGATCAGTGTCACAGTAAATGTGTGAATGATTCATTGCTGTGAAATGAAGACCTTTTTTTTTTTTTTTTTTCCTTCCATGCCTGTACAAACTGACACTTTCGCTGATTTAATTCAGTGGCCGAGCTATGAAAGTTAACAGGTAAATGAAAACAGATTTGCATTTGATTAAACTTTAACTGCACACGTGAGGTGTAAAAACCTCAAAGCAGACCACCCCAAGTCTCGCCACGGGAAAATGGTGGTTTATCTGGTACAAAGTGATTTTGTCGCTCATCATCAGGAGGAAGGCGATGAAGAGTGTGGACACAGTTTAGTTAGCCAGTTCGACATGCTGCAAGTTGACTCAGTGCTTTGTGCTGTTTAGGATGTTGTAAAATGACATGAGGTTTCAAAGTGCAATTTGATGGCGTGTACTAGACACAGAGAGTTTAAAGTATCGCTAAGTGTACTTTGCAACTTACACACTGCACAGCGGATAGAGGCTTAATGTTTTGTGCCATACATGCCTGCCCCAGGTTCTACCAGCTCAATACCTTCAATTGTTTCTAAAAATAGACTAAAAATAATTCTTCAAAATGCAGAACGTCTATCCATTAGGCAACAAACCTTTTCAGACCGCACTGAATTTTTAATTTACGCTAAATTAATAATGACATTCAATAAAGGTTAAGCTTTCCATTAGCGATTGTCCATTATAGCTTTATTACAAGCAGTAGGAGAGTTGTTTCTGTTGCTGAAGTAAACTTGGGCAATCTTAGTTATGCCACTCTCACTGTGACCCCTCTACAACACAACTCGTAACATGCTTCTGAATCGTTTTTAGATGCAAGTGTGGCTTATATCAAGCGAGGCGCACAGGCATGGCGACAGAAACAGGAGCGTATGTCTGTACGGCGGTTTACGGTAACTATCTTCAGATGACTACACTATAGCTCTGCTGTGAATTTTGGACAGTGTGAAAATGTTGAGCAGTAGTGTATTATGAGTTGTTTCTGTGTTATTTTTCCAAGTTCATGCGTGCCCAAATGAAACAAAGCTGCAGGCCAGATTTGTCCCACAGACCCTTGACAATCCTGTTCGATATGTGTGCCACACTTCTTTCTGATTAGCTTAACCTTTTGGACTATTAAGTAAGCATGCTTTGAGACAGTTAGGTTCCCACTCACAAACTCTGTGCTCCGTATGCTTTTACCTCTGGTGCTGCTGCCTAGTGTGTAAGAGGAGGTAGACCTCATAAATATTAAAGTAATTTGTACTACCATATTTGATACAATGCCTACTACTACTAACTATTCACACTTTTCTTACCATTAAACCCTGAATTATTAAACATTTTCTGATTACTTTCATTCATAAATCGTTGGTGTCCTGTTCACACTTTGGTCACAAGGCAGATCCAATGCTCTCTGACGTCATTAAGTTGGATTATTACATAACGACAAGGCCAGGGCTATGGCCAGGTTCCCCCTCCATCTGACCTCGTCACCTTTTTTACTGTGCAGGAGAGCATTACAGGAATAAATTTTCAAAATCATTTTCAAAATCATTTTCAAAATATGAGCCTAGAGCAGTGTTTCCCCAAACCATTTCAGACAGTCCACATTTTTTCTGTCCAACAACAAACCTGTTCCAGTTATTCAGGTTCTTGACTGGTTAGTGAAGGCATAATGGAAGCTAGGAGAAAGCAAAAAGGCATATCATTAAGAGTAAGTGAAAATCAGTTCGAGAAGCCCTGGACTGCACATTTTCATTTGTTCGTTATCCAATCTGGATACGACTGAGGTTTTGTTTCTATTTATTTCTGGTTTAATAATACCCACAGTGGCCCTTGGGTCCTAGGGGTTTGTGGAAAAGCAGCAGTAAGAGTCAAACCAGAGACACCTGCTTCAGCCTTGTTGTTCTGGTGATGGATTAGGGGGTTAGAGTTTTAAAATGTTATGGTATGATAAACTAGTCTAAATATATCACGTATAAAAAGATTGAACCCCCTAACTACTGCGTGGATAAGTGGCATACTTTTTAAAAAACCTTTCAAATAAATAAATAAAAATTCAATGGATTACACAGCCAAAGGGTTTCCAGGGCAGTCCGAGACCCCTCGACAGAGAAACGAAGGTTTCTGTAGAATAATTAAGGGGGCGTCCAGAAGGATCTGGTGCTACATTTACAATAACAAATGCACTTTCATTTACCAAAGTCATCAGGAAGTTTTTCTTTCTCTAGTTGGTGGACAAGTGAGTTAAAAAGACACTTGTGACTAATTATTGATACCGGAAATGATTTGTCCATACCTGGCTCTGTCTTGTTTAATTATTTAATTGTTTAATAATTGCACTGAGACCGATGTAATTTTGGCTAAAAACACCAGCTATTTGTTAACCGCTGACAGGACTCGGATGCGTGTCGCACTGAAGCTATGGTATATAGTAACTTTGACACTTGCATGTCAAGACTTCATTCGGGATCTGTAACAGGACTTTCAACCACTGATTCATTCTCCTTTTGACATGCATGTGTGCCAAACTGAGCCTCTGTGGCAGGTGTCATGTGCATTTCTTTAATAATCTAGTTCACAGACTCACCAACATCAAGAGTAATCAAGAGTAAACCATTAGTAATTTTTCCACACCAGAAGCCTTAGCGTTAACCTTCCTGGCAACCACTGATATTCCTAATACTCACACCTTGCATGTGCTCTTCCTTGTAACCGATCAAAGATAACTCACTGGTACAGAATGCTGACACTTTCACAACCCCCATCCATTAGCAGGCAGCAGCAGTCAGCAGTTTGCAAAGCACCACTGCCTGCTTTAGAGGTCAAAAGTTTCACAGACTGGTCAGTGTCAGACATGACAGTATGACTTAAGCCTCACAGGATAACTTGAACCAACAGCATTATGTTTATCGTAGTTCAGAGTTTGGTCATAGTGAATGTATATGTTTAATTGCATTTCCCAGATTTCCCATAATTCTCAACAGCTTCAGAGGAAAACGGGCAGGGACTACTTAGACAGTCCATTACTACTTAATTTTAGTATGTTTAAATTTAGCTTAAAATAGGTGTTCTGCCAATGGCATTTGGACCATGAATCACTGCTTCTTTTTTATTTAAATAAACCAACTATCTAACAAATAAACAAACAAACAGGGGAAAAAAAAAACAGTTTTGTGAATGCTTTGGTGAGTTTTCTCATTTCCATCCAGTTTTCCAATCAGATGGACATTAAAATAATCCAACACGTTTTTGTGTTTCATTTTACGAATTATGTCAAACCTACACCTCAGTCTTATAACAAAGTATGTAAAAATAAATCTGTTGTGCTGCAGATGTAGAAACATCTGGCAACACTGACTCATTCATCCCCAATTTTCATACCCTACCCAATCGAGTATGTGCTGGAATTCCCAACAAAACTACCAGATCTGTTATTTTCACTATCTACTCAGTAATACTGATTTCACTATCTACTCAGTAATACAGATTTCACTATCTACTCAGTAATACAGGTAGTAATGACTCCTCCCAGTTTGATCCCGACCTTGAGTTATTGTCTGTGTGGAGTTTCATATGTTCTCCCTGTCTGTGTGGGTTTCCTTTGGTTCTTGGGTTTGCTCCCACCTCCCAAAAACATGCCAGTAGATGACAAATTGGCTACGCTAAATTGCCCCTAGGTGTGTACGAGTGTTTGCGCACCTAGTGCCCTGCAATGGGCTAGCGTCCCTTCCAGGGTGTATTCCCCACCGCACGCCCACCGTTCTCGGGATCCGCCTCGACCCTGACCAGGATAAACAGTTACTGAAGATGAATGAATTTTAACGAATAGGCTTTGTATATTCAGGTAATGTCTGCCCTGTGCGATTTGTTTGCATAGCCTCCAAACCAATTGAAAATTATTTTATTCAAAATGATAAACATAGCCAAATCATTAATCAAATAATGAAAAAGGGCTTCAACAAATACATACATTTACTCTTGTGGTAAGCATAATGTTCGAAAAGCTTTCCCATATAAATAAAAACATTTAAAATGTAGTCAACTTAAACAATGCACGATATCTAGTGGGACTGTAAGATATTAACAAAAATAATAAAAGCAAATATAAAGTCAAATGTTTTTTTTTTTTTCGTCATTCCTCTACATAGCTTGTATACATTGGAACGAAATGTCACTTCTCCAGGACCATGGTGCAGCCCAACAATAACAGTACACATTTTGAAAACCGATACATATATTTTTCTAGCATTAATGTAAACAGCACTTTTACATATATTCAGCCTAGGCCTCAGCATGTGCCATCATCAATCA